AAAAAAAAAAAAAAAAAGCCTTTTGCATCGCATGTTATTGTTGTTAAGTACTGTCAAGTCGATTCCTTCTCAAAGTGACCCTGTTTAGGATTTCCAAGGAGCAGCTTGCAGTTTTGAACCACTAACCATGTGATTACCAGTCCAGTGCTTATCCTATTGTACCACACCAGGCCTTCTTATAATGGTTGTGAAGTGCCGTCAAGTCGGTTCTGACCCATAGCGACCCTGTATAGGGTTTCCGAGGAGCAGCTGGTGAGTTTGAACCACCGACCTTGCAGTTCAAACGGCTTTGCACATTAGCCCACAGCTCCACACCAGGACTCCTTACATTGCATTGTTGTTGTTGTTATTAAGTGGAGTCAGTTCCGACTCATAGTGACCCTGCACAGGGTTTCCGAGGTTGTAAATGTTTACGGGAACAGAACACCCCATCTTTCTCCCGTGGAACAGCTGGTAGTTTCGAACTGCTGACCTTGAGGTTAGCAGCCTGATTTGTAGCCACTAAGCTAGCAGATTTCTTTTTACATTGCATAGAAGATACTATTTCCTACCCGACAAACAAAATTTTTATAATTACAAAGAACTATCTTCTTGACCTTAGTTTTTTTTTTAAGCTTTTATTGTCAATTAAGTGATAGTTTACATGGGAGAACATCTGGGTTTTATTGTTTTTTTAATGTACACAAAAACACGCAGGAATATATAATCATTTAAACAACCAAAGGATACATTCTGCAAATCTGCCTCCTGGCCACCAGCACACAGCCTATCTCTTACCATGAGTCTAGAGTCCTCAGCTGTTCTATCTCTCCATGTCCTTATCTCTGCCTCCATCTCTGGTGTTGCTGCTTCTCTGCATAGGGTCCCACATTCTACTTGTGCTCTTCTCCTTTGATGGTCCTAGGGTCCTCTGTTCCTGGGCTATAAGATTAACTACTCCCCTCTTGGTTACAAAATTTCTACCATTACAATTGTGACTGTCTGAATTAGTCAGAGTAACAATTACTATTGAATCAAAAGAATTGTATTGTTATTTCCTTTCACCAGAGCCATCTAGACAAGATGGAAACTATTTAGTGGGGACTCTACCTTCCCACCACACTCTAAAACTAAACTCCCTCTTTTTTTTTTTTTAATATTTTATTGTGAATTATGTGATAGTTTACATGGGAGAACGTTAGTTTTACATTCATCGTATCGTATATTGTTTCATTGCCATGGTTACAATCCCCTCCATGCATTATCACCCAGCCAAAGGGTATACGCTACAAGCCTGCACTCCAGTCATCAGCACACAGCCCCTCTTCCTCTCTGTGTCTGAAGTCCCCAGCTGCTCCATCTCTCCACGTCATCATCCCTGCTTCCATCTCAGGCATCACTGCTTCTCTGGGTAGGGTCCTGCTCTCCGCTCTTCTCCCTTGATGGTCCCAGGGACCTCCGCTCCTAGACTGAAAAGTAAACACTCCCCTTCTTGCTACAAAAGGTCTACCTTTACATTTCCAACCCTCACAATCAGTCCTGATAACAATTATTCACTATTGTATCACAAGAGACCCATCTGCATTTCATCAGCCCGGCCTGGACAGATTGGATACTACTCAGTGGAGATTCTACCTTCCTCCACGCCCTCTGGATCTAGGTTCCCTCTTGAAAGCTTGTAAGCCAGTCACTTTTAAGGGTTCAAAAGCTAGAACTCCATTCTTTAAAAAAAAAAAAAAATTAATGGAATATAGAAAAAAAGTAGCATCTTTCACATGTTCACACAAATAATTGGGGAAATTAAAATAATATTGAAATTCCATTTTGTTGTCTGGTCTTCATAACCAAAACCCACATCACACATGTTGCTGTTGATTGATTACGATCATGACAACCCCTGTGTATCAGAGTAGAACTGTGTTTCATAGGACTTCAGTAGCTGATATTTTAGAAGGAGGTCACCAGCCCTTTTTTCTCTGGTCTGAGTTGTTGTTAAGTGCTGTGGAGTCAATTCTGACTCATAGAGACCCTGTATAGCGTTTCCAAGGATCGGCTGGTAGGCTTGAACCATTGACCTTGTGGCTAGCAGTCCAGTGCTTATCCTACAGTGCCACATGGAAGGTGATCAATTTGTTCTGTGAGTGGTAATGTTAACAGCAGTTTTAGATTCGAGAGTGTCACTGCAGCTCTTGATCCGTCATCGAAGAAACCGAGGCCACTTGGAGAGGGGAAGCAGAGTGTAAGATTTTATTAAACCGGCTGGCTCAGAGGAGCTAATTTCTCCAGATTCTGAACCCCGAATACAGGGCAATGCAGACTTATATGGGGTCAGAATCAGGGAGGGGTTAGGTTGAGTACCTGTTTGAAGACAGGAGGAAACCAGAGGATTGGTTCCGCTCAGTAACCTGATTAACATTCTATTTGACTCCTGGGCAGAGAGGATTGGTCCCACTCAGTAACCTGATTAACATTCTAGTTTGACTCCTGGGTGGAGAGGATTGGTCCCACTCAGTAACCTGATTAACATTTTAGCTTGTCTCCTGGGTGGAGAGGGAAGTGAATGTTTCTACCTTTTCCTGCTCAGTGTTTTAACTAGTGATTTCCAACCATGGAAGGGAATTAGGAATCATTTGGGAATTGTGTATTGCTGCAAGATCGGAACATGTTGTAGAAAACGAAAAGTTTACAAAACACAGGCATAAAGAGGACATAGTCAACTCAGGAAGAAAGAGAAATCATAAAAGCTTGGTAATTCAGAGCTATGTGTGATTAAAATCTCATCTTTCTAATGTCTCTGGTTTCAGATTGCCTGTTTGGTACCTGTGGATCAGTTTCAGCTTTATCAGCGGTTAAAATTTGAACGAGGTATGCACTCTCCCTTTTTATCCTGATGGCTAATGTAGTTTCACGTGTGTTGTGTCTACGCAGACCTGCATGGAAGATTAAGGCAGCTGTGGGCTGTCAACAAAGCCACAAGGGCACCTTGAAAAGAGGAAGGCTGTAATTGCAACATAAAATTTCAACTCTCAGCCAGAAAAAAATGTAGATTAACAGGAAATAGAACTTTCCTTCTGTTGGTTGTTTTGTCTCTTTAATTTGGCTCAAGTAAAAGCCTTTTGCAAAGTCTGGATGGGTTCATCACTGTAAAACAAAAGAAGTGATGGAGTTTTGGAGGTGCAGCTGTTTAGCTTCTAGCTGCAAACTGAAAGGTTGACAGTTTGTGCTTACCCCAGTGACTCCATGTTAGAAAGACCTGGTGATCTGTTCCCTTAAAGTTTGCAGCTAAGAAAACCCTGTGGGACATTTCTGCTCTTACTCATGAGGTTTCTGTGTAGCGATCAACTTGACAGCACCCAACATCAACAGGAGTCCTGGTGTGTGGCATTGTGGGTTAATGTGCCAGACTGCAAAGCCGTTTGAACTGCAAGGTCGGTGGTTCAAACTCCCAAGCTGCTCCTTGGAAACCCTATACAGGGTCACTATGGGTTGGAATTGACTCGATGGCACTTGACAACAACAACAACATCAACAGTATGGGCAAATATTCCTTCCTTATCCCCATTGTTCAGTTATAAAAGTGCCATCAAGCTGGATTCTGACTTATAGAAACCCTATATAAGGTTTCAAAGGAGTGGCTGATGAGTTTGAGCCACCAGCCTTGTGGCTCACAGTCCAGTGCTTATCCTACAGCACCACACCAGAACTCCCTTATCCCCATTAACCAGTGTGGTGCTACTGTCAGATAATGTGCTGGACCGCAAGGTCAGTTTGAACCACAAGGTTGACTGTTCAAACTCACCAGCCACTCCTTGGAAACCCTATACAGGGTGGCTATGAGTCAGAACCAACTCAACCTCAATGGCACTAACAATAAACTTTAAATAACCTTTTTAAAAAAAAAACAACAACTAAAAGGTACTCTCAAAATGGGGTTTACCTTTTAAGGAGCTCTGGTAGTGTAGTGGTTACGAATTGGGTTACAAACCACAAGGTCAACATTTCGAAACTACCAGCCGTTCCGTGGGAGAAAGATGAGGCTTTCTGCTCCTGTGAAGATTTACAGTCTCGGAAACCCTATACAGGGTCGCTATGGGTTGGAATCTACTCGACATCACTTAACAACAACAAGCTTACTCTTGGCATGGTGTTGTAGGATAAGCACTGGGCTGCTAATCACAAGGTCAGAAATTCAAACCCATCAGCTGCTCCTTGGAAACTATAGAAGGTCACTATGAGTTGAAACCAACCACATGGCATTAACAACAACAACAAGATCACTAAACATTATGTGCTGAACTGTAAAGTTGGTTTGAACCACAAATTCAGCGGTTCAAGCTTACCAGCTGCTTGTCAGAAACCCTATACAAGGTCGCTGTGGGTTGGAACCCACTTAACAACAACAACATAATATTCACAAAGGAATGCTCTTGGTGCTGTATGATGAGTATTGGACTGCTTATGTTGGCAGGTAAACTCCCCAGCCACTCCACAAGAGATGGTGGTGGTGCTGTGGAATCGGTTCCAACTAATAGTGACCCTGCATAGGGTTTCCGAGGCTTTAAATCTTTACAGGAGCAGAAAGCCTCATCTTTCTCCCACGGAACCACTGGTAGTTTCGAACTGCTAACCTTGAGATTAGCAGCCCGACTCGTAACCACTACGCTACCAGAGCTCCTTCCATGAGAGATAGATGAGACTTTCTGCTCCTATGAAAATTGACGGCCTCTGAGACACCATACAGGGTTGCTGTGAGTTTGAACCAATGGCAGTGGGTTTGGTTTGTAATATTTGTCACTTGTCTTTATGATATTGATCTGTGCCATTGGGTTGTTTTCAACTCTTAGCATCCCGATGTGACTTAGCAGAACTGCTGCATAGGGTTTCGTAGGCTGTAACCTTTGTGGGAAGGAACTCTGGTAGCATATTGATTATGAATTGGGCTGCAAACCTCACGGTCAGCAGTTCGAAACTACCAGCTGTTCCGTGGGAGAAAGATGAGGCTTTCTGCTCCCTTAAAGATTTACAGCCTCTGAAACCCTGTACAGGGTCGCTATGAGTCGGAACTGACTCCACAACACATCACAACAACACAACAAAAACAATCTTTATGGGACAGATCACCAGGTCTTTTCTCCTGTAGAGCAGCTGGTGGGTTTGATTAGCAGCTGAGTACTTACCCACTGCTCCTGGCAGGCTTCTATTAGTTAACTGCCATCGAGTCCATTTCAACTCATAGTGACCTTGTATAGTAGGGTTTCCTTGTGGTTCAAACTGACCTTGTGGTCCAATGCATTATCCTGGGGCGCTAAACCAGTACTCCATTATATAGTAGTGATGACCAAGGGCGTTTCCATGCCGTGTCTTTCTAATGCTATACATTTACTGTTCATTGGTCTGATTTCTTTCTGACTTTGCACTTGGGGTAATTTATATAGTTTTTTCTATGTAATTCATTGCCCATTTATCTGTTGTTGTTGTTGTTGTTGTTGAGTACTGTGGAATTGGTTCCAATTCATAGTGACCCTGCACAGGGTTTCCGAGGCTGTAAATCTTTACAGGAGCAGAAAGCCTCGTCTTTCTCCCACGGAATGGCTGGTAGTTTCGAACTGCCAACCTTGAAGTTAGAAGCCTGATTCGTAACCACTATGCTACCAGAGCGCCTTATTTATCTGTAGGAGTTAGGTTTTATGCCTTATATGTCTCCGACAGATCTTATTTAGGAGCCACATCCCTCAGGCCACACCCTAATATATTCTTTCTTTTTTTTTAAGAGTTTATTGTAAATTATGTGATAGTTTACATGGGAGAACATCAGCTTTACATTTATCCTATCGTATTTCATTTCATTGCAATGACTACAATCTCCTCCATGCATCATCAAACAGCCTGGCCCCCAGCCACCATCACACAGCCCCTCTCCCTCCCTGAGTCCAGAGTCCCCAGCCGCTCCATCTCTCTACCCTAATATATTGTTGAACTAAATGGTCTGTTTTTTAGAACCATTCAGTACCTAAATGGTCTATTTTTTAGTACCTAAAAGGAGTCCTGGTGTGGCAGTATAGGTTAATGTGTTGAACCGCAAAGCTGGTTTGAACTGCAAGGTAGGTGGTTCAAGCTCACCAGTTGCTACGCAACAGAACTGACTCGACAGCACTTTACAACAAAAGTAAAACAAACAAACAAAAACTTTCCCAACCTTTTTTTTTTTTTAAACTTTTTATTGTGATTTGGGTGACAGTTTACAGAGCAAATCAGTTTTTCATTCAACAGTTCATACATATTTTCTTTCATGCACTCCCGTACAATGTGACATCATTCTTCCTACTTCCTGTCTGCGTCTCCTATTTCCATTCATGTTTCTTTTCTCTCCCTTCCAGCCTTCTGAGCTTTATCCCTGGGCAGTTACTGCCTTTTTTATCTTGATTGATTGATTGTTCTAAGGAGTGCAGACTTCTACACTTGTGTATTTTGGTTGAAAGTTGAACCACAAGAGTAAATGTAGTTCCAGGCTTGAAGGGTAACTAAGTCTTGAGGTCATGGTCTTTGGGTCCCACCAGTCTCTCAAACTAGTAAGACTGTTTTTTTGTTTGTTTGTTTTTATGATTTTGTGTTTTGTTCCATATTTTCCTCTCATTTTATCCAGGACCTACTGCTGTGATTTTTTCACAGTGGTAGTTGGGCACCATCTAGCTCTTCTGCTCTCGGGTATGTGAAGGCTAAGGTTCCTGTGGTCCATTAGTCTTTGGAGTACTTATTTCCATATGGTTTTGATTTTCATCACTCTTCTTTGTTCCAGATGGGAAGAGACCAATCATTGTACCTTTTAAGATCCTATTCACCAAAGTAGGATGTAGAACTTTTTTTGGGGGGCAGGGAGGGTTGGGGGGGACTATGTTGTACCAATTGATTTTGTTGTTCCCAGAGACTATGGTCCAGAGCTCCCAGGCCCGGCAAGTCATTCCCTCAAGATGTTTGTATATGACTAAAAAGCTTTCATGCTCTACTAAAAGACATTTGTACCATATGTAAATACATATGTAGAAATATTCTCGGTAAAACTGGTGTAGTCTCCTTGTGTAAGGTTTTCTAATTGCCAGCTTTTAAATCTAGTGTAATAAAGTATAGAGGTGAGAATTTCTCATAAAGGGAGGAATGAGGGGTTGGGTTTTGTTGTTTAGGTACCATTGAGTCAGTACCGATTCATAGCGACCTTATACACAGTGTAGTACTACAAAATTACACTAGTAACTTTGGTTAAGTACAGTTATCCTCACCTGGCTTGATCTTTGCAACTAACCTGGCAGATCATTCTTTCAGGTAAAAAGAAAAGAGAAAACTATACAGAGAGTCAAGAGGACTAAACTAGGAATGCTTACAGGGCATCTTAGGATAGCATTTACTACCTCAGACAAGATTTGCCTTGGAGTTATAGGCCAATTTAGAGACACTTCCTCCTCTATTCAGTTATTCAGATTTGCCTCTTATGGATGGATCACGGAACTCAAAAGTCTGATGTATAACTGGAATTAAAAAATATATATATATATGGACTAGATTACTTGGATTTCAAATGGCTAGTATATTTTTCCCTATAGGGAGATCCAGATAGGAAGCCAGGAAATAGAACACTTTTTGAACAAGGACTCAGCCCCAGTGAAGCCAGGTGCATTGTGGGTTTAATGAGTGCAGACCTAGCCTGATGCATTTGTTCATACGGATTCTTAGTTAACTGGGGAAATTGATGGGGTAGTGTATTTTAACCGTCCCAGACCCATCAGCTGTCAGTTCACAACTGATCGTGGGGATGGTACAAGACTGGACAGCATTTTGTGCATGGAGTCACGATGAGTCTGGGGCCAACTCAG